GGCGGCGGTGGCAGAGGTGGCGGCTCGCCGTCGGAGCCTGGGAGGTGCTGGAGGCAGGGGCACTCACGCCAGATCTAGAGGAGAACCTTGGTATTAGCATGGTAGCGGTGGTGGAGGCGGCGGAGCGTGCCGTCGGAGCCTGGGAGGTGGTGGAGGGGGGCAGTCGCTCCGGATCTAGAGGAGAACCTTGGGATTAGCATGGCGGCAGTGGCGGCGCACTACCAGAGCCTGGGAGGTGGTGGAGGCGGGGGCCCTCGCGCCGGATCTGGAGCAGAAGCTTAGGTTAGGGTTGGGCATGGTCGAGGGTGGCGGCGGAGGCAACGTGGATGTCACCGGAGCCAGGAGGGGGTGAGGTGGCAGCGGGGGAGCGTGAGAGGAAGAAGAGAAGGCGCACACGAGGAAGAAGGACGCGTTCGGGCGAAAGAGGAGGCGTGCGGGCGTAGCTTTCTACGCCTGGGCACACGGGTTGTAGTAAGGTCCAAGAATGAATTATATATGAATGCATTTACTAACTCCATTTTTTTAAAAAGAATATCATTTTACCTCTGGTCCAGAAATTAAAGAATGACATTCTATTTTGGACGGAGATATAATATTATTTAAACAAAGTCGACCCATGTCATATCTAGGTGGCCTTTGTATCCAAAACCTTTTGCATTCTACTAGCTAGACATTCTACAGTACATCACATGGATCCTCACTTTGATGGATAACTTGGATCTCAATTCTTGTTGTCAACTGTGAGGAACTAAGGATGCATAATCTCAATGAATGGAAAGCAAGGATACCACTTATGCTATGGTAACAGTTTGACGGACTAGGATCACATTATTAATGTGCGATTGAACATGCATTTAGGGGAGTTTGTGACTTTTTCAATCGTTTCTTAATCACAAGTAGACAATAAACAAAGTCGTTTTAGTTGTCACAACTTGTATAGAAGTCTAATGGAATGACGTTAGTGCATTGTAGTTGTTGTACAATCATTTTATTTAGGCACTTTAATTGATGACAACCGTCACAAATGGTGTTTGTTTCTTGATTTCATTGTACCGTGTTCTACGCAACGGCCAACATTATGATCTCTATGTTGCATGTGTTTTGAAAGCGTTAATACGTGCTCCAACTTACATGTAAACTTTCTATTAGTGCCATAATATAAATTGCTACCATGCACTAACACAAGCTAGTACCAAAAACATTTCATGAATTATTATATAGTTGGTTTCAACATGATAAGAAATTGTTGTTTGTGAGATTTTAGTTGTTAGTAGCAACTTTGTTGAACATGACAATGAAAGACCAAGTTTCTAGAGAGAGACTATGTAGATTGTGTAACAATTTGTTCATATTCCATAACAACTTGTGTTGCACATCTAATACAACTTTTATGTAACAGCTTGTGTTTTTATATGTTGACGAAGCAACTTATTTATGCAGATATGGTGTAGCAAACTACTTTATATGTTTGGTAATTTGTAAATGAAATGTTAGCAATAAGCTATGTTTAAAGTCAGGAAGCAATTTACATGGGAAATTTATTATCAACTTTTTAACATAAGCTAATAGTACCGATACACATAAGTTGTTAGTGCAAATAAAATGACTCAAAACATATATAAAATACTTGTTTTGAAGATCTGGACACAAGGAGCATAATGACCCACATAGAAATGGAAACACATATTAGATGAGAGAGTAATGGTCATTATACAATGTCAAATTGAATTGACTAGAAAATGTCAGCTACATGATGTCCACTATGGAGTCTTAACTACAATCATGTTAGGAGAGGGTGTGACCCTTTTGTCTTTTCCTAGTCACAAGTAGACAAAAAATATATTCTTTTTGAGGTTGACACAACACGCAATAGGAAAGTTAGGTAGAATATGACATTAGCACATTGCATTTGTTGTACAATTATTATTTGGGCATTTTAAGTGATGACAACATTCATATGATGTCCGTTCTCGATTTCATTGAATCGTTATGCGATGAGGCCAACATCATAACCGTGTTACAAATTGGGGTACCCACAGTGGTATAGATAGCTTGCTCTCTATAATTTTGTCCACATCAACTATAGAGTACACAATAGATTAATCCTCCAATAGGTTGACTGTAACAAACATTCCAATGTTTTATGGCCCCCACGTGTCAGTTTATTTTAAAGGGTGGTTAACAAACATTCCAATATTTCTAGTGTTTGTTGTTTACGTACTGAACAACTTAGTTCTTGGTTCTATTGATCACCATTTGATCCGGTGATGGATATGAATAGCACATCAGAGCAATGCTATAGTAGACCTTTTGGTATGTTGAAGATGCTATAAGTCCTCACTGGATGATTAGGTGAAGGATTTATGCAAGGCACCAAATCATCCGATGTTGCCTACGCTTGCACCGCGTTGCCTAATGGCTAGCTCTTCTTAGTGGCTTATTATATGTTCTCTATCTCATTTTGATCCATCTATGATCCCTATCTTGGATAGACACATCTTGGATATTATTTTGCTAGAGGAGAGCGTATTAGTGATTTGCAATTTCTTTGGTCGAAGATTAAGACTTGTTTAGTGCAAGTGAGTAGCAAGTGTGCATCCTTCTAGGTCCGTTCTTGATCAAGTGAAGCTAGAATTATTTTACTCCTGGTTATTTCCATCACCTAGATAGCTTGTTGATTGTGGCTCGACGATCTTCCTCTTGTTAGCGATGGTTAGAAGGCCCAAAAGGCTTTGTGCTTAGTTTGGGACCCACCAATCTAGGGATGGAGAATGGGTACCCTTGGTGGAGCTTTGGCCTTGGTGACCCAAGGGAGCTTAACCCTTAGTTAGTGCTATAACACAGACTATTTTTACTGCTAGTTTATTTTGTGCTTGTGTGTGCTTGAAGTACATGATTGAGTATTGTAGCTCTTTGTTCTCAAACTAACATTATAGGTTTACTTTCTTACACCCAAGGACATAATGCTAGTGTGATCTTTCAATCAAGGACTAGTGTGATCTTTCAATCAAGGACGTAGCTTAGTATATTGGACCTATGAACCTTCTCTTAGTATGTTTTTAGCACAAGTACTATATCTTAATATAAGATAGGTTTGGACGAAGGGCAAAGTAGGTTAGGTTAAGGTTCTAAAAAAATGTGCTTTAAATTTTAGAGCACAATCCAACCCCCTGGCCATTTGATCCTTTCACACATATTATCTTATACCGTGAAGTAAGATGATACAAAACTCCACAAATACGAACAGTCAGTCACAAATAGAAGGCAAGCATGCATCTAAAGTATCTCACATGTCTCTAAAAGTCTGCTAATTCTAAAGCATCTCACATGTACCTGAAGTCCACTAATTCTCCATTGGTAGCGCTCCATGAGACGCTCAGCGTGTGTGACAACCAAACGCCCCCACTCCACTCTTTTGCAAAAGCCCTAGGAATCCCATTGAGAGAAGCGGGGGGGCAGTGGGACCTGAAAATAGTAGCTTTACCCGTCTCCCTCTCGATCTCATTGGTCCAGTGTGGCTCCCTGTTTGATTTTCTCTGGCATGGGCAAGGTTGGTGTGGTGCGGGGTGATGGTGGCGTGAGACGAGAAGGAGAGAGGAGAGACAGAGCCATGGCAAAGGCGGCGTGGGATGGGGAGGGTCGTGCCAACAGTATCCTAGCGTGACAAGTACCGAGCGTGTGGTGGAAGGAGGCGTGCACCCGGTGGAGAAGAAGACATGTGGTGGAGAAGATAAGTTGGAGAGAGAAGACAAACCAGAAGTAAAATAAGTGAAGAAAAAATAAAGAAAGAAAAGAAAAAGAGAAAGAAAGAAAGAAAAAATATAATGGTATTAATGACATTTCATCTTTTTTCAACAACTAGGGAACCTATTTTACCAAACATTTTTCTAACCAGTGAAGCTGGAGCCAGAAAAAAGATTCCTTTGGTTGGGCTTCCCAACCTACTTTGGCTTCCTAAAAAACCAAAAGTCAACCAAAGGGACAAACTTTCTCCTATGTTCTACAAAGAAAGCAACTTTTCCATAGTACAAATGTCACATAACCTAGTTACCTGCTTCTAGCGGTTGTGGAGTTCAAGTTTTCTCAAAAATTACCCACCTGCCGCTGGTTATAATGTCTATCGTCTCATTTTTTCAATCCCTCCCCCAATCCGTGTGAGAAACAACGGCCATCGGCGGCGATGGAGAAGGACTCTGTGCGGCGGATGAGGTTGCGTCGCGAGGAGGTGAGGAACGAGTCCCAGTCGCCATCCACCACCAGCAGCATGTGGCTGGAGGAGCACGTGGAGGCCGCCTCCACCACCAGCGGCGGAGGCATGGTCACGAGCACGGGCCTTGTGCCGGCACCTCTAGGGGACGAGGAGGAGCAGGAGGACGCGGCAGTGGTGTTGTAGGTGAAGCGGAGCAGCGAGCCGGAGCGAAACATCCTAGGTCCCAGAGCTAACTGCTTTTTTTTGGAACATCCTAGGATGCTCATCTAGGCATGGATGACAGACGGGAGCACACTGGAGAAGATGAGGGAGAGAGAAGATATTGAAATGTGGGGTCATGAATGACATGTGGGGCCACTAACAACAGTTTTTTTGGAAGCCACAATCATTCAACCAAATCGCTTTCAGCTTTCTCACAGCCCACAATCAACAAGAGCTTTTTCACAGCCCAAAACCGCTTTTTTTCCAGAAGCCGTAGTGCAACCAAACACACCCAAAGTTGTTTCATGCTAGATGTTGGTTTAGCTGGAGTTAGAGCACTACCAAATGGACCCATACATAATGTCTAAGGCTATGCTTCAAACAGAGGACACGACATCACATACACCATTGTGCCGGCCTGGCACCAGATCGACCAAGGTTTTTGCCGATAGATAAAACTAGTGAAGCTCGGAGAACATGAACATCTCAACAACCGCACCAATATGATATTTGAAGACCTGAACCATTCTCCAACCAGCAAATTATTCATTCAATTATTGTCATAATAATCACTGCTATATATTATATATTACGAGTATAAAGGAGGAATGCTTTGTGCATTGTTGAACACATTTCCAGGATCAACCTTAGTCTTGGCCCGAACCAACCTTCCAAAATTCATGAAGAAATACCGCTCGCCCCATGACGCCGCATGTCCCACAGAGCCATAGGACGTTCCACCGGTCGCGTTCATCCAGTCATTGGTGCCCAAATCAAGGTCCAAGTAGTTCACATACGCAGCCCGCGGGTTCTTCGTCACGTAAGGCGCCATGAAAGCATAGAACGACCGGAGCCATCCGATGTACTCATCCGCACGATCGACATCCGACGCTTTCCACGAGACGCCATACTGGATGCTGTACAGGTACCCAGCACGGTGAGGGAAAGGCGTCACGGTGCTCCCGATCCTCGCCATGGCGCCGCCGTAGGGATCCAGCTGGATGGACCCCTCCGGCGGCCCGGCTGTCGCCATGAACCGCAGGATTTTCACAGCGTCCCGCATCGAGATCGGTGCCTGGACGTAGTCGGACTTGCTCTTCGAGAACTGCCCCACTCCGGGCTGACGGCTCGTGAGGTCGGCAACGGTGCTCAGGCCGGCGAACTTCACCGCCGACTCGAGCCAGCTCACCTCGGAGAGCTCCGCCTCGGCGAGCCCCAGCTCCGGGAAGGTCTGGCTCAGCACCGCCATGGCAAGACGCTTCGGCCCGAGGACCTGGCCGGTGAACGACATGGAGTGGTTGCCGTTCGACGATGACACTGTGGGAATGTACGTCGAGAGGTAGAACTCGTCGGGGAGGCTCGGCGCCACGTACTGCCACCTGTGCATCAGCCCGGCGATAAGCTCGGCCGGGCCGGTGCGGCCGACGCTGAACACGGTGATGTTGTCGGGGACCGGGACGAGCCGGACCTTCCACGCGTACACCACGCCCCAGCTGCCTCCGCCGCCGCCGCGGATGGCCCAGAACACGTCAGGGTGCATGGTGTCACGGGTGAGCGTGTCGCCGCTCGCGGTGATGAGGACGGCGTCCAGCACGTTGTCGGCGGAGAGCCCGAACTTCCTCGATAGCAGGCCGAACCCGCCGCCGGCCGTGTGCCCGCCCATGCCGACCGTGGCGCACGACCCGGCGGAGAAGGCTAGCGTCCGGTTCGATAGGCCAACCGCGTGGTACACCTCGCCCAGCGTCGCGCCGGACTCGACCCAGGCCGTGGCGGTGCCCGGGTCGACGTCGACATGGTTCAGGTTGGACAGGTCGATCACCACGAACGGCACGTGGTTCTCCGTGGTGTAGGAGAGGCCCTCGTAGCTGTGCCCGCCGCTGCGGACGCGGATCGCCAGAGAGGTGTTGCGCGCGCAGAGGACGGCGCGCTGGAGGTCGCGCTTGGTGGACGGGAGCACGACGGCGGCCGGCTTGCCGACGCTCGGGAGCGCGAAGCGGAGGTTCCGGATGGAGGAGTCGAGGAGCGGCGTGTAGCTCGGGGATGTTGGGAGGGAGAAGTTCGTGACGCCAGTGGAGAGCAGGCACGAGGAGATGCCTGCTGCTGCTGGTGGTGGTGACGACGACGACGACTGAGCGCTGCTGGCGCGTGTGGCTGAAACTCCAAAGAGGTGGAGGAGAGCAAGGGCTGCTGCAGCTACCATCGTGTTCATCGTCAGGGCGCGGATTGTTGCAACAGCAGACGGATACAAGGATGCAATATCTCTTCAACTAAAACATTCCTTACTATTCCGTCCACAGGTACGACACCCAAAGTCGCTCCATGCGATCAGATCAGGAAGGCAACGCGCACTCGCTTCATGCGATCAGCTCAATCCCCATAACAGCCGCAGCAAATCAGGAAGGCAAAAATCAATTCCCGTAACAATCGTGATCAATTCCGCGATCACCCCACGCCGCCAATCACGCGAGACCGCGCCGTCACCTGCACCGCGACCTCCCTGGCACCCTGCAGCCGCACGGCACCACGTCCTCACCTCCTCGTGCCTAGCCCTCGCGCCACCTTCGCCATCGCACACGCCATCCGTCGATCAACGCCATCGTTCAATCGCGCCCTGTCCACGTCCTGCCCCGTACCGGCCCCGTCTGACGCCCCGTCTTGTCCCCGTCGCCTCGCCGCCCTGCCCGCTGACGCTGGCGTACCCTGGCAAGACACCGAGCTAGCGACGAGCACCCACCAGGTACGTCACCAGGACCCTATATCCCCATCTGTCTTCCCTTCCAGCTATGCGAAACGGAACACCCAAACCCAAATCTTAACAGCAGCACGTGGGCGAAGACGACCACGGCTAATCCTAGCAGAAGCACACAGACGACGACAACCAGTGGAGCCGTCGCCGAATCGCCCCGCTCAAGTCTCCGTGGCGCCGCGCCCCTTTACATGATCGGTTATCGAGACCATAATGTTTATAATTACATTTTTCATTACACCATGGTCAACTACTCAACTAGAAGCTAAATGTACTCCTTTTCTTTTCTTTTTCTATCTCTGCAATATGGCAATGCTTTAGATTTAGTGCATTTTGGATAGTTCAGAGTGAGATCATTTGTTTGAACAGGAACATATGTCGTGCTGTTTGGGTAATTTGCAGTGAGTTTGTTTGGTTTTAGTCCATCCATTTTGGTTGGAATTTTGAACTTTTTGCACTGCCTGATGATCGCCAATTCAGTCCTCATCCTGCCATGCAAACCACATTTTATTTCTTTTGCCAACAAAATTTGCTCGTACATAGGTATTGGGCATGAAAAAACTAAGTGGAACAAAACTTTTTTTTAACACCTATTGCTATTTACTTGTAAGTTCATAGAGTTGCCTTGATGATATGCAAATACGGATCGCTCGTGTCATTTTAATAGGTCTGTTGGGACAGCGGCCACAAACAACACCTAATGATCGAAGCACGATAGAAAACTGGTTGTTGAGGCCTTCTCTTAGGGAAAGGCTCCGATGACTGCAATAAGTCTTCTCTGCTGAAATTGATTTTAATCCAAACTTGTGATCACTGGTAAATTGGTAGTTGTTAATATAACTCATCTGCCCCAGCTATTGCAACCACCTCTAAAAAACAAAAGATTCAGCCATGCTTTTCTATGGTTGGGGATGAATAGGTTTGAAATCTATGGTGTTGTTTAGATCCTCAATTTTTTGTCAACTTTTTCAGGTACTAAAGTTACTTTGTTTCGAAGACAAGGAACTTCGATTCTCTGCCCCTAACCCTCCTAAATCTAAGAAACAAAGGGAGTTTATACTGAAGATAAAAAAGGTTCTCAATATATGATCCATTTGTCTTTTGACTATTTTAATGTAATAACTGCACATATTTATACTTTTACCTACTTTCTTTCAATCTAACTGGAATCAGAAATTACGTGTTTCAAATGTGTAGAGGTACAGTATTAAACCTATGAGTATTAGACAATTCTCAGACTGATCACATGTACATATGAGTGCATAGGTACATGCATAAAATATTATTTCTAATTTAGCAAAATAGGGTATATCATCATTTTGTTTATCGTTTGAGAAAATATGTCATCATTTTGTTTAACTTGCTAGCATGAAATAATTTATAGCCTCTTTGATTTCACAGTTTATTGTTTACAACCGTAAGAACGATCACATTTTTAGAAGATCATTATTTCTATATCTAAAAGACTATTTTCTTTTAAAAAAATTGTCTTCTTGTATTTTTAGACCTCTTTCCTGCATGGAGCCTAATGCAAATCACAATTGTCGCATGCCATTGAGAGACTTGTCAAACAAGATAAATGAAGTCAAATACTGATGTCGATGTGTATATGTATGTGAAAATTTTAACATCTAATAATTAATGATGTTAAGTCTGTCTTCTAAAAAAAGCAGGCGTTGAAAGTGGATCTAATCCACTTACACAAGTCTCCGATACTCGGGAACTTAAAAGGCAAAGGGACAGAGCAAGGCTTGCGGACCGTCGTGCGGCAATGACAGAAGAACAACGGAGATAAATTAATAGAAAGCGACGTGAAGCATATCACAAGAAAAAAGCTAATTCTAAAAACGATAAACTATCTATAGGTGACATTCTTAGCTTGCTTATTATGACAAAGAGACAGTCTGTCGAGGCGTTGGACAACAGTCTCCGTGATATAATGGACCGACCAGAGCTGTCGTTCGGTGGAGATTTCAGACAGGTTCTTCCCGTTGTTCGGAGAGGGTCGAGGGCTCAGGTGGTTGGTACCTTGCTACGTATGGCGTACCTTTGGGATTCCATGCGACATCTAAAACTGGTGCGCAACATGAGGGCAAAGAGCGACCCGTGGTTTGCAGAATACTTGTTGCGCGTCGGTAGAGGATCTGAGGAGGCGACTGTTGATGATGAAATCCGTCTTTCTCATGATATATGCATACCGCACACCAGAGAAGATAGTGACCTTGATACTCCAATTGACTGCATATTCTCTAACATCAATGCGAATATGTCAAGCAAAGATTATATCACCTCTCGAACGATCTTATCTACGCGGAACGACTGGGTTGATATGATTAATATGAAGATGATAGGTCGTTTCCACGGGAAAGAGATGGTGTACCATAGTTTTGACTGTGCGGTGGATGATCCACACAACTACTATCCTGATAAATTCCTTATCACTTTGACACCGAATGGTCTACCTCCACATGTGTTGAAGCTGAAGATTGGTTGTCCGGTCATATTGCTTAGGAACATTGACCTTGCAAACATACTTTGTAATGGTACCAGGCTTATTATACGGGGGGTTCAAAAGAATACCATAGACGTGAAAATTGTGTTGGGACAGCACGTTGGAAAGCGAGTTTTTCTGCCTCGTATACCCTTATGCTCGTCGGATGATGAGATGTTCCCTTTCCAATTTAAGCGAAAGCATTTCCCTATCCGGCTCAGCTTCGCGATGACCGTTAACAAGTCGCAGGGGCAGACTATTCCTAACGTCGGGGTGTACTTGCCGGAACCCGTGTTCTCGCACGACCAATTGTATGTGGCGCTATCAAGAGCTACGGCAAGATCGAACATTATGATCATAGCCATGCCGGCTGCTGAGAAGGACGTGAACAAGGGAAAAGGGAAAGGGAAAGAGAAGGGGAAGAAGAGAGCGACAAAGGATATATTCACAATGAATATCGTATATAAATAGGTTCTAACTCCATAAAAAAGGTAATACATCACACGTCGATATTTTTTTTTAATATCAAATGGTACTTTAACTTTAAAAATTAATAAACAACTTATATGCAGGATACTTCTAACTACAGCTTCAGCCATCTGCATGCTTCAGCTGCATGAAGTCAGACGCCGTATCTTAGACTAGAAAATCTTCTGGATCATCATTGATTGGTGACCAACTGTAGCTTGGTATTCGTGCAAAGCACGTTCTCTTAGTAGAAATATTGAGAGATTAGATTCTTAATTATAGAATAGATTCTAAAACATGTATTATGAAACACAAACTTGTTATGATTATCTTTCCATAGCACTTGATTTCTAAAGAAGTGTAAGCTTATTTTTCGCGTATCATAGGCACGAAGTGATGCGACAATTGAAGTTGATATTTTAGTTTTGCATTGAAATTTAGAGTTATATTTTAACTATCTATCTTTCGTGAAGACTTATGTACTATTGATTGGAACATTACGATTGCGATATCTATTTTAGATAACAGTATAACACACACTCATACATATGTTATCGTAGTATTATGTGTTTTCGTTGCAACCGCACGAACATTTACCTAGTATACTAATAATAATGTAAGAAATGTGTTGCCCAGAACGAGAAAGCCATGATCGAGTTGTCGACGTCAATTCTGGAGTTGTCGACGTCAATTCTGGCGGACTTTTCCTACGCAACGATTCACCGGATATCTGGATAGCTGTTCTCGCTGGAATGCACATGCACGTCGCAAACCGCAGCCTCTGGTCAAAGAAAAAGGCTTCCAAGATGCAATTTTTACAAGAGAGACAGAGATGCCATTTATTAGTGTACTGTTACATAAAGAGCCATGGAAGAACTAGTTGTACATACGTTCGCCAAAATATGAGAAAATACACGTGAATGCATTTTTTGTCTTCATGCCGAAAATCAACAAAGCGTTGACTTCTAGCTCCAGTTTATGTGTTGTGTCATCACGTCCAAGATAGCGGAGATCAGCGAGAGATCAACGCAAAGAAATGCAACTTTCACAAAATGAAAAAAAAAAAACAAGAAATCAACAAGAGGTTGGATATACTTGTCCTCAGTCCTGAATAATCCCAAAGAGGCATAGGAGATATTGAGATCAGGGCAATCAACAACTAGCGTGACATGTAACCACCGATGGAGAACGGTCAGAAATAATAGGACATGTAGTTTACCTTCCAACTTTCTTAAACTCACAACAGCTACATGAATAGTATATTTCAGTATCGAGTCTACCCCTCTAAAAAAAGTATTGAGCCAATCTGTGATTTATCTTTTATTGCACTAGTATGTATTATGAACTTTAAAATTTATTTGATTTAAGATTGGATCAAGTCCAATTAAATAATCTAAAAAATAGCTAGCTTATTATCATTAGCAAAAACACTGCATGGGCATGTTTGCTAGTAATCCTAACAAGGCATAGGAGATATTGAGATCCTGGCAATCAATTTATTTCG